GACCATCACATTTCAAAAGCCCAATTAGATCTTTTTCATCCATTTTTAAGAAATCTTCTGATTCAAAAATAACTTTTGGATTTCTACACACAAGTTCTAATGCAATTTGATATAAATTAGTGAAAATATCATATTTACATATTGTAATAAAGTCTTTGGGAAATTTCCAAGCTGATTCAGTTTCAAGCAAGCGTTTTTCAGCCTTTTGTTTAATTTCAGATAATTGAATTTCATCGGCTGCAATAAAAATATCGAGAAGGCTATTTTCATCTTTATGAGAAAATTTTCCTGTATAAATATAGCTATTTATTTTATGAAAAATAACATTTCAGTTCAATGTCATAAAAATTAATATGATTCTTTTTATTTATATATGAAAGAGCATTCATATTTCAAACATCACTAGAGATGTACCTCTCGTAAACATATCACGTGTGAAACTACCGCGCAAGTTCAACATACCATATTGATATGATAAGAATTCATTACAATATATACAGTCACATCGGGTTATATCACCCCATTTTCTCTAATTTTTTGGATATAACTAGTGTTGGTATACAACTTAGATACGACTGTAACTAAATTTCATTAAAATTTTCTTTAATCCAATTATCTATTCCGCATGAGTACGATGTCATTTCACTCATGTCATGTAAATCTATTGCGAAGATAATAGCTCGGGAAAGTCACCAGTTACGTACCATTCAAGTGACTTTGCATCTACTGAAGCACATGATCATTCACCTAATGAAGTCAGATTTTTTCTTGATGCATCAATTCAATGAAAAATTTTTTAATGAATTCTCCGAATTTATAATTTTTATTTAAACAAATTCTATCTGGTAGCAACAATTAAATTTTTATTCAAAGTTTAAAAGTTTTCTGCTGCCTCTTAGAAAAATAACCGCGGTAGAATATTTCTATACTTTGATCGAAAAATTTTCCCAACTATCTAGTTAAATTCGATGAAATTTTTTAAAATAAATTATAAAGAATCATTGAATTCATTTAAAAGATGTTTCTTCGAATTTATTAGGTAATTAAGAAGTTTTCCACAAAAGTTTAAAAAGAAAATTATTTTTCTGAAGCGGCAGAAATTTCTAAACTTTAAACGAAAATTTTCCAGTAACTGCTAGATAGAAATATATAGAAATTTTTTTAAATGAATTTTACGGGTTATGAGTATTCATTAAAAAAATTTCTGCGAATTATATCATGCAATCACTGAGGTAATTGCAAAATCACGTGAATGGTAAGTGTTCGGAGACTCTCTCTTATCCCAATAGCTCTATGAGGTACAACTCTAGACATCACTTTATCTTATAGTAATTGAATTGACGTGTTTTTCAAAAAAAAATAAACTTACTTTAAAAGAACTTCAAACACTGATGGTGAAATATTAGGTTTTTCGAAAATGATGATTTCTCTATTTTCGCTATTTGTTCTCATTGCCCATTGTGGTGACAACGCAGCTTTAAAGTAAGCAGATCTTGCTGATAAGATAATAGAATGAGCTTTAAATTCTTTAACATTTGGTTCTTCGCCAACTTTAATTTTTATATCAAAATCTCGAGAGCTTTCAAGCAAATCTGAAAATTCTATAACGAAACTTTGAGTAGATTCGTCATTCATATTTGCGAATTAAAATGAATGATGAATGCAAAAAACTTACGTATCTATAATCTATATATATATTAAAAATTTTGGAATATGCACGATGAACAGAGATTGCAGTTTCGTGTAACACTTATGCATGGGATGTACGTATATCGCTCATCTATTTACAAAAACTTCAGGCCTACGTAAATTCTTTGAACGTTCGTAGATTTGACAAATATATTGGGAGTTACAGCCCATTTTGACAATTTTTTTTAATTTTTTTTTTCAATTTTGAATAATATACATTCAATGAAAACGTTTGCCCAAGTTACAAAAGCTAATTACATTAAAAAGATTCACAAAAAAAACTTTTAAGTTGTTACTATTTGTAGATCATTACTTGAATTTGATTTACACAAAATTGGTTTATATGTAAAAATAGGCTGTTTTAATACGTAACACCCTATATATCTATAGAGATACAAAAAAATGTAACAGTTACTTCAAATTCATTAAATAGGAAGAAACCTAAATACAGTATCAAGTATAGACCTTTCGTACAACGGGATGCATTTCTTTGTAGAATGCTTGTGATCACAAATGATTTTTCTGGACAACACGGCAGTAATGGCGTTTAAATTATGTAACAAAAACGACTAAAATAATAGTTGGAACATTCGAGTCGATCAAAGACAGTCCCAATAAGGAATCGTCTAAAGCAGGTGATAATTTATATTCCTCACGTGACTTTTACTTTACAAATTTATTATTAATCAACTTAAAAACTACCTGGCTTTAGACAATCCCAAGTGGGAAGTGCCCGTGGGCGTCAAATTGTTTGGGTTACTTTTTTATGTAGATGCGCCAGTAGCATATTGTAAATGTGTACAAGGTTGGCGGCGAAAACTAATTCTTAAAATTCGTTAAGG